GGGGGGACCATGTGAAAAAATTGGTAAGCTGAGGGGGGGTCATGTGATTTTTAAATGGTGCTTCCCAAATCCCACCAGCCCCCCCTCCCTCATAAAAAAAAGAACGGTCCCTAACTGATCATAATAAATTTCGTTTATAATATCTTATCTGATTTATTTCGACAGATACAATTCAACAGCAAGATGTTATCAAAAATTATTAGGTAGGAAATCAGGTACGTAAGTACTTTTAGCATGGAATAGCCTCCTGTGGAGACATTCTGTCGGCTTGTTGTACAATCTTCTCCACGTACGAGAAGTTACGAGCCAACAAGAGAATGTCTGCGAAGGAGGCAAGGGAAAAGCACAATAGAAGCTAAGTTACTTTCAAGTAAGCACTTCACTTAAGTGCACTTGAAAATTTCAAGTCGCACTTTACAAAACTTGGCTTCACACCTGATGACAAAGTGTATTGCTTAAAGCATTTTCGCAGTAAAATCAATCATTCATATCACAAATGTGATTGCTCGGCAGTAAAATCGTGGAGAAATGCATATAGTTGTATTGCTAAAGAACAACACAACAATAGCAGCAACGCAAAGGAACAAACGACATCTTCTGTATTTCTCTAGAATGGCTCAACAACGCGGTTTTCGGCAAAGAAATTGCTGTAGAGCTTTAGCTAACCTAAAAAAATGCATTTCCGTGTGACTCGTCCAATGTTCAACAGAGTTTTTCGGGTGCAAAGAAATAACCCGGTTGAAACTTGAAACAGCAGCTAGTTTGTAATTTGCAGAAGAGCATTTGGTGTCGGATGATATGAAAAGCGATGGTTTAGGCTGCCTATGAAACTGAAATTCAAGCAAGTTGTTTGTCGGTCTGTTCATCACAATTGTAGCAAAGCTGCACATCGCTTTCATTTGGCTTCCATTTCCTATTGGCCAAGTGCGTTCTCAGGTGAGGTGTAGACCATACTTGGCGGCGCACTTCGACTTCTTTGATCTACGAACGTTTCCATGTTCACTAAGTAAAGTTCAAGTAAGTACATTTTATGCCCCTTCACACTCAAAGTAGGTTCCAAGTGCACTTAGATTATGCTTGCAAGCTCTAGTGTGAAGCCAAGTATTTTGCAAACTTTTCGCGCGCGAAGCGTGTGTCCCGCTTTGAGCGAACGGCAGGCGCTTCGGGTTCAAGTCGTCATGCGCTTCGGTGTTGACTGAACTGACATGCGCTCGAATTCCACAGGATGAAAATATTTTGTTCATCTGCCGGTATATAAAATTCGGCGAAGACAACGAACATATAGGAACTCGAATGGCGTGAGAACTCTTTCAAATATGGCCTGGCAACGTATCAGTGGGTTTCTTTCAAGTTATTTTCTTCGTCGCAAGGAGAGCGCTGTCTGCGCTGTGAGCGGCAAAGTCGCATAGACCGCCAAGCGCTCTCTTGATTTTACCGCCATTGCATAAATTATAAACTTAAACTGAACTTCCCCACGGATCGGGATATCGTTTTCATCATGCAATAAATGCTGTCAATATAAACTTGAGAACACAGATATCAAATTGGCGATAAAATAAGAGGCATTTCGGCCAAACAATTACAGAGAAACGAAGAAATTACGGCTAGTAATAGATGATGCTACATTTAGATCAGCGTGACTTCAATAGGTCACAACACAATCACGAAATACACAACTAATCAAGGAAGATTACACTACTTACCAAATTAAAGAATACTTTTCCTCCTTTTTAACGTTATTTAGTCGACGATAGCTGCTTTGTACCTCCAAATCCGTGGTGTAGAGTTTCTGAAAGACAGAGATACGACTAGTTGATCTGCTTACAAACATGTCATTGCATGAAAACCCCTGGCTGTCAGGTAACTGTCACTCAATGTCATCATCTTGTTATGTAAGAGTTCATTGTTCCATCATACACGTGAATCAGCACATTCAGACATCCTGTAAGTATTTGTCGCCTACCTTTGAGGTCGTTCGTTGAATTTATATCCAGTTATAAATGGAATCATCGTTCCTTTCACGGATCAATCGAGGTGCGAGTTCGCAGACCTAGGAGTACCTGGACTGCACGAATCAGTCATCGACAATTTCGTATCTGGACCAATACGCATATATGTAGACACGACTCAATACACATGCAGAACGGCGTTTGTGAATGAGAGAAATGTAGAAAAATACACTCGCTATCGAAATGTCATGCGGCTTAGCAAGCAGAGTTTCGTTTAACTTATGACTCGCTGTTGGCGAAACCGCAATGACCTTACATTTGGATTTTAAGGTCACATCGATCGCTCGCAAGCCGTTCTCGAGTTTCTCCGTAGGCGCGTTTAAGAGTTCAGTAGCCGGTATGACTTATACGGCGGAGGAGGCTGGGCAAACAAGAGCTTTTGAGGCTGAAAAATAAGTTCTAATACACTAATTTTGCTGATAATGGAAAACACAACCAGAATTTACAAATCTAGTTTTATTTTTGACGCCAGTTCAGCTAAAAAAAGATTTTAGACTTGTCTTTAGAATCCGACTCGACTCCTACCCAGTTTTGTCTTGAATTATTGTAGTCTAGACCCTTTTTTTGTATTGGTTTATTAGTTTTCTTCCCTCCACGATGCTTATTTAATCTGAAGAGGTTTCTTTTCCGACTCCTTGTTTTTCCGACCTTGTTTTCAACTATATACAGTGTGATAGGGTACTTTGTGTCTCTCGTAAACAGTTATCGGATGATCTGTTTCGACAGCCATGGAAGTTGCAGTGTACAGAACATTCCTGGCAGCATGAAGCTCTCGATAAATCCCGCCCGACATTGATCCCCACAGATTTATTTTCTTCACAAAAATTTAACCTCTCAAATACGGGCAACGGATGTTATTACTAACAGATTAGAGATAGGGAAATTGCTCTGCCTCCTATATGGCCTTGTTAAATAGCACATGCCATGTTGAAATGATATCGTGTAAACATTCCTCTATTAATCAACACTACTACAAGGCACTGGCGGACTCAGAAAATGTTTTCAAAAGAATTAGCATATGTCAATTTCTAAACTCAAAGCTCTTGTGCTTCGTCGGTGGCGAGTGAAACACTTAGTTGTTTATTAACTTCAGGTTGTTAAAGGTCACTAACTGCTGTGGCGGCCTCCCAAAAGCCCCGGTAACATCCTCGCTCGTGGGAGGTGGGAAACAGCGGAGTAGCCTTTCAGTGGGACTTAGTCCTGAAGCCGCCACGGTAGCTGTGAAGGCCTAACAGGAACCCCGACCAAAGTGGCCAAAAGAGGCTCAGGTAAGTCTGCAGGGGGCTAGTCGCCCCTTCAGACTGGTTCATGATTACAGAAACCGGCACAGGAAATTTAATTCTAAGGCCTTCTGCGTCCCATGGCGCAACGAGCAAAGATGATGATAGACCGCCGTGGCGAGTTCGCGAGGCTGACGCAGTTTCTATCGTTAACAATGTTCATCGAGGCAAAGTCTTTCACTTCGCTCTGACGGAATCGAAAGCTCGAAAGAGCCTCGAAACGGCTGAGTTTCATCGACTCGCAAGAGTGGTTAATTTAGTACCTTTGCAAACTTCAAGATGATAAATAGCTCGTTGTTTCACATATTTGTTTTATCTGGCAGCTGTAATGCTGGCTCAAACAAATGATTCCTGTGGATTTCGGTTAGTCTCAGACTCTTTAAACTAAAGGCAAAATCATTAAATCCCAGTTGGAGGTGACCCCAAATTTCAACTTCGGTTAAATATATAGAGCCACGGTCATTTAAAGTCGTAAAAATATTGATAAGAAGCCTTGGTGGGTCTTTTTGTCCTTTTCTGACGTTTTAACAAAGCGCTCACAAGTACTTTTGTTTTCTACACGTGTTCTCATTGTGATTGTCTTTGTTTCGAGAAGTAGATATTTCCATATACCAGCGCTGAGGTCCGAGAACATTAATTCACTAAATTTGAAACTAATTGTGATCTTTTAAAGCAATGCTTTATCTCGATTCATGGTTTAAGGAAAGCGAAGGTTTGTTTGGTCTGTGACCTCTTTGTAAGAGCCATATTCACTCAATACTTTTCAAAGAACTTTAAGGAGCCCAGTCACGGCATTTTCAGTTATTTTGGCCACGTCCAAAATTACTTTTAAATTGAAGGCAACCTAAAAATAAGATATAAAAACACCAAATAGACAATGATAAACCATAATGGAACAAGGATGGTCAAAGATGGAGAAGATTAACTCGGATTACAAACGACGAACTTGAAAAATTTAGACTAAACTTTTCAGGCTGCGTAAACCGTGACGTGACTCCTTTAAAAATCTCAACTACTAGGCTGTCTTCGGATAATGGCTTGTTTTGGCCAAGGAAATTTCCGGGGTGAACTTCCTTTCTGTTGAAATCTTTGACAATAACTTGAGTTGAAATCCTGACTTTGTATCACCCCTGTAACGGCACGAGGATTAGAATTTTCCCCGTCAGCTGTACTTCAACTGGGTGCTTCAACAGCCTAAAGGAACTCACTGTTTCACATGATCGATCAAGAATCAAGAAACTTCGCTTTAGAACAGAATCGCCTAACTTTTGACGAATGCATATAGATATGCACAGAATAGAACGACATAATTAGTTGTTTACGATACGGGCGCCAACTGCTGGGAATATAACATGTTAACATTAAAAAATTTGGAACGCTTCACGAATTTGCGTGTCATCCTTGCGCAGGGGCCATGCTAATCTTCTCTGTATCGTTCCAATTTTAGTATATGTGCTGCCGTTAAGCGAGCACGTCTACATTATGGCAGGTGTTAGGATTATATTTGTTTTGTTCTTATGCTGTGCTCACTTGTGGTGACGCTTATTCATTTGAATGACAAGTTTAATTATATCACACGCATGCGCGTTTATTGCTTCTGAAGGCTGCGTAAGAAGAAAGCTTTTGTGGTTGAAGCCTGTCACGTTCTGTGGGCAAATATTGGAGTAAAACTGAACCGGAAATGAATAAAATCAGTGATATTGGCCTTTTCATTTTTATTTTGTTTAAGAACTTTGGGGTCAAAACACTTAAATCCAAGTACAATAAAGACGTTTATACTTTCATCCCCTGCCGCGCAGCAAAAAAAAAAGGATCTTCGCATGAAAAAGCGAAAACAATCGCTTCAATGGGTCAAAAACACGACCAACCAATGTTTTGTTTCTCATGAATTTTAAAATTTCCGCCATTTTGCTCTGTAATCTGCGAAAGGACTGAAAACTAACGTTCTCCCCTAGTCTCTCGCGGCCTTTCTTTCCAAGATGGCGGATGTTATTTCACCTAACCTGGCAAAGGCGGCTGAAGTAGCAAGAAATAGGCGTGTTTTCAGGTTCGTAACAGCTCTTTAAGATCTTCTATTTTGTGTATTAGTTTCATAGAGGAAGAGAAGCGTAATACTTTGTTACTTATGCCCACGATAACATGATTTAAACGGTATTAAACCGGTCGTTCGTTTCGCCCGTTAGCCAGCTCGTCCGATGTCAATTCGCCCGGACTGAAAGTTCAAGAATGATGTGTTAAATTCTTTCTTTTAGCTAAACGAGCGAAGAACACAACATTGTGGGCATTTTGAAGCAAAATTAAATTATTTGTTGGGAGCAACTACACAGTACAGGACCACTTATGACGATGCATTTATTTGGTGGCTCGTTTGGCTCGGCAGTGGATAAAAGAACGAGGAATAATTATGTACGCGCGAAGCCCTAGGTCTATATATTCAGTGGCAAGTTAAGCTCGGCAGTGGATGAAAGAACGAGGAATAATCTATATACGCGTGAAGCCCTAGGTCTATATATTTAGTGGCTCGTTTGGCTCAGCAGTGGATGAAAGAACGAGGAATAATCTGAATGCGGGTATCCGGTAGTTTCCATACAAAGTCGTTTCGATACAAGTCGAAGTCGATTCAATACACATCTAAAGTCGATTTACGGTCATGACGCCCCCAAGATATAACGCCTCCCACATGACGCCCCCCAACTAAGGCTCGTGTTGCTGTTGTCGATCATCGTCGTTGATTCTGAAATGCAGTTCATTTTGCTATGATAAGTCATGTATCACACATGAAATTACAGCTTGTGAAGGTCAGATTTATAATTTGTTGATTTATGTGACGTTATTTCCACCCTAAGTAAAAATAATGGTTGCATTCGACAAAGCATCCTTTTGGTTGCACCATTGTGAACAATGAAAATCGCCGAACAAGACCAAACGATTACGGACCAAACAACAGCGGATCGAAATCCTGCATAATTTAGTATGTTTAATACATCTGTTTAGTGATAAATTAAATTGAACATAAAACATTGTTAGTGCTGGATTATATTTAACGCGTGTATGCTCAGTTTGTCAATATAACTTCAATAGAACGTTTGTTTACAATTCAGACCGTAATTATTAAGACTTCAGCTTATTTGCAAAGATGCTCAAGTAGATCAATGTTCTTGTTTATTACAAAGTCCTTGCTTGCTTTTTTAAGTTAGACTTATTGTTATGCAATTTCAAAACACCACAGTGAGAAGATCACAAGTCTTGGTTTATTGTTTTTCTTTTTACGTTATTGCAATTAGAACTTACTGGTACTTAAAAAGCGCAAGCAGGTTCTTTGTTAAACAAGTGAGAAAATCATATTTATTATTTTTAATTGTTCACAAGCTTATCCTTTTTCGTTTGGATCTCGGGTGTTTTGTAACTATTTTTCTATCAGGGGCGTTATATCTTAATGGTAGGGGGTGTAATGTCTTATGGGGGGTGTCATGTCAGGAGCGTTATATCTTGGGAGCGTCATGACTGGTTACCTTTAAGTCGATTTGATGTAAACTGAAGTCAATTCGATACAAAACTTTAAGATACCCAGCAGTCTGAAATTACCGGTATTATAGAATTTCCACGTTTAGAATTGCCTAGCAATACTAGATGTTTTTGTTTTGTAGTGGATGATTTGTTCCACTGTGGGGCTCGTCTGACTTCCCTTCTAATCGGGCTCGTTTCAGAGAAGAAGTTCAGAGTATTCAGCTAAGCAGTGGAAAAAGTTCCAAGACCTCCAGACAAACATGATTTTTCTCCTGGGATGACACTCTTTCGATCGGTCACTGTTGTATGCAATGTGAAGATGAAAAGACTTTCCTTGAGATTTTCTTCTAGTTACTGTACTTTTGTCACAAAATGGCTTCATTTTGTATCGAACTGACTTAAGTTTGTATCGCATTGATTTTAGATGTGTATCATATCAACTTCCATTTGCATCGAAACGACTTGTATCGAAACGACTGTAAACCTATATGCACGTTAATATAAGTCCTAGGTCTATATATTGAGTGGCTCATGTGGCTCCTTTGACTCAGCCCTGGATGAAAGAACAAGGAATAATCTATAC